AACAGCAAGGTAGGACCTGTTAGGTTGTTTCTTAAAGGTACTGCCCAACATTTGAACAATTAACAAAAACTACCAAATTATTGTAACCGGGGAGAGTGAAATTTATTAGTTAAAAAATGTGGCACTCTCCTTTTAACCGAGGGGTTCCACTAAAAAATGATTTGGGTAGAGCGAATGTTTTCTGTTGTCTCAATAATATGAAATGGTTTATTTATAGTACAAATAATGAGAAAGGCATTACTTGACTGTAAAGCTAAAGGTACATGTAAAAGGGGGACGAACCTGTGTTTGCAGGAACGGAGTGCCCATCTCTCTATCGAAGCGATTGGGCCAGACTCGAGTCCATGAAATGCTGTTGTGGGGGGATCGCCACACCTCCTCCACAGCGAGTCTGTTACCTTCCCAGCATTGAATGATGCCGGTACCCATTTAACACCTGGGTTGAGAGGAGTAGTTGAGGTAAAGCGCCTTACTCAAGGGCACAACACGCATGGCCGCACCGGGCCCGAACCAACAATCTCACGATCATGAATCGTATGCTTTACTGTTAGACCACACATGCCTACGGCTAAACCACACGTGACTGGAAGTGAATAATAGTCAGTCTCAAGCATCCTGTGAAATTGTTGTGCCCGGTATGCTGACATTCTCAAGAAAAGTGAAATTTTGTGTCATTTTCCACAATGGTTCGGCCGAATCACCGATGGAAAAAAAACACATATCCCTGGAACGAGTGCAAGCCAGCTAGTCTGATTCCCTGACCTGTCAATTCCCTGATGCCTATAAATTGTTGTGTTTCGTCTGAAGCATCGGAACAGGGAACCAGACTACAAGAACACCATTTACTCTTGTTTTTTTTCTGGCACCCATGAAAACTTTCATGAAAACAAAAGGTCAGAGTAAAGAATATGTGACCTACTGAGGCAAAATGAGGAATGTCCCCCAAAACCTTGTTTTGAGTAATCAATGCCCAAAGCCGAATATACTAGAAAAATCTTGTCAAAATCGATATTGATTTTTTTTTGTATTTTTGAGTAGCCAAGGTATGGGGAAAAAAATGCCCCAAAAAGTGGAAAAACTTAAGAATGTTTTTCACTGCCGAAACTTGGCGGGACACTGCTGAAGTTCCTTTGTCATTATCTTTGGAATAAATTAAGCTACAGAAATAAATTTGGTACCATTGGAAAGCCAAAGATTTGCGCTTCAACATCATGCACATAATGTGAAAGTCAAAGGTGGGGATATTCCTCATTGTGCTATGGCAGGTCACATATGTGACCCATTCCGCGGAAAAGGGTGTTATGTTGCAAAAAAGTGAAATTGATTTATATACATGGTTGGAAAGCCCACAATGTAAGCTTTCATTTGATATTTAATAGAGCTCCATGGCCCCTTTCATTCTGGACATATGACGTATTTGCACATGAATTACTTCCTTGGAGTTCAAATTACACAATTGAGAAAACGGGCTTTAAAATACCTGGCTCTGTTGTAGATGTGGGCAAGATGCACTCAAAATTGTAGTTTTTTTTCCCTATTTATTCATCGAAATCAACATTTCTGTGAATTAACCCTGAAACTTTAGATATTAAAGATGTCCTTCATGACAAAAAATGAAAATCACATTTTGACGAAATTTCCACCCTCTCAACGTTGAGCATGCCATCACATGATAATGCACAGCGTGACTTAATACCCTTTTTTGTGGAGCATATCACATATGTGACATACTGTGGCAAAATGAGGAATGTCCCCCAAAACCACGTGTTCAGTAATCAATGCCCGAAGTTACATTCACTAAAAAGATCATGTCAAAATCAATATCGGTGTTTTCTTATTTTTGAGTAGCCAAGGTATCCAAGATTCACACTATTTTGTTCCCCCGAAAAATATCCCCAAAAGTTGGAAACTGAAGTTCACGTTTTTCACTGCCGTTGTCGGCGCAATGCGTATTTCTTTTTTCAAAGCCGTGAGGTCGAAATGAGGTTGGCGAAATTCGGCGAGACAGTGTTGAAGTTCCTGTAGCATATCTTTGGAATAAATTAAGCTACATAAATAATTTTGGTATCATTGGTTTGCCAATGATTTGCGTTTTAACATAATGTATGTACCGATAACTTGAAAAGTCAAAAGTGGGGGTTATTCTTCATTATGATACGGCAGGTCACATATTTGCTATAAAGCACTCCCCCAAATCCATCCATTTAAATTTACAGCAAAAGCAAATGTTGTGTTTTACCTTTAAAATTTACATGGCACTAGAAGAATTTTCAAAGTTTGTTTGTTTGTTTGTTTGTCTGTTTATTTGTTTACAAATAAAGGCCAGCGTATGCCAGTCAAACCTACCGGTAGTATACCTGGCATACCAGGCCCCACGCCAAGTACACCATCAACCATAAACACGACACTGCAGCAGCAACAACAACAACAACAACAACAAGGGCAGTCGTCACTGGTTCCCTCCGCCGCAGTCACCGGTATCCAGCAGCAACAGCCTACACCCATTGGCGTTGTCAACCCGATGCTTCAGCAACAACAGCAGCAGCAGCAGCTAGTATCATCGCAGCAGCCGTCTATGGGAATGGGTTCACTGGTACCGGTAAGCGTTCATCTGAGGAGTTTTCACAAAAAAAAACAATAAAAACTGGCATTTCTGTGGGTAAACAAACCCAGTACAGCTGCTATAACCAACATCGTAGGTTTCACAGAAAGTAATAACGATTGTTCGGTATAGCGATTTTGACTCTTTTGACCTACCATAGTAAAGTCACTGAACTGGTATTTCTCACATCCCACCGCCGCACGAGGAGTTGTCACAAAACTTTAGCAACGGGTGGTTTTCCCTTTTATTCCTTGGGGAAATAATAGCCATCTATCGCTCTTCAACATTCAAACACGATGTAAACATGGATGGTTTGATGTTCGGGAATTAAAAGTGGCCCAAACAGTGTTTAATACTTAAGCAAACAGTGTTTAATACTTTAGCAACGGGTGGTTTTCCCTTTTATTCCTTGGGGAAATAATATCCATCTATCGCTCTTCAACATTCAAACACGATGTAACCATGGGTGGTTTGATGTTCGGGAATTAAAAGTGACCCAAACAGTGTTTAATACATGTACATGTACAACCGGTATAGTTTTTTTTAATCTGTTGACTTTTTTCAACAACGATATTCGGTATATTTTGTACATTAAAACCGGGAGCCAAGGATGATGTTTGGTATAGCCGAATGTTCGGTATAGCGGCGTTCCACTGTACAAGGAATCAGCGTTCTATAATAATAAATCATAAGTACCTAAAACAGTATACCAATTCCAATTGGTCGAGAGCCCGTCACGTGCCCGGTCTTAAACGGTTGATAAAGACATCAGCTGGCTGGTCTTAAACACTTTTCCAGTGTCACATGAAATGTGGACTCCTATGAAATCCAGTGCCTTTTACTGTTTTAGTGGTTGAACGTTCACAATCCTCACGTAGCTAGGCATGCGCGCGCAATACTACCGTGATTCAATATATTTCATTGTCCGAAATTCACACTACACCAGCCCAACTGCGTTTTGCGCTACATCGCACAGTACGCGTGAGGCGCGCCAATCTCCTTATAAGGTAAGGAGTTGTAGAGGGACACTCCATATTACAGTCAGAGGGGTGTTTCATAAAATTTGAAGTCAAATTGTTGAACAAAATGGTTGGCAACGTCTAGTTTTGACTGATTTTAAATTTTTGGACCGAAACGATTTGTTCTTTTGATGAAAAAGGTATTTATGAATGGGATTCGCCTGGGGTAATGATCAGCATTCCAGACTCCAACCAATCTGAAACACAATGTGTAATACCTTCCAAGTACACATTTGTGACCTGTTCAGTCAAAAGCAGACGCTTCTGGGCAGAGGTTGAAATTTCGATTTTCAAATTTTTGCATATTTGTAATCCTGTCTAAACATGTCTAAACTATATTATAAAAGTTTGAAACCCTAATTTGAACTCTACTTATACTATTTTTGATGATTTTGATAAGGTATATCAGTTAAAGAAATAACTGTTTTGTGACGTTCGTGACCATTTTCTCCGTTTTCTACTTTTCGACACAATGAACTTCAAAATAGCATAACTCTGCCCAGGAATGACAGGTTTCAAAAATTAAACCACCTATTAAAAAGAAAAAAGAACATATGTTAACAATATGTAAAAATATCATTTTCGACCTTATGCACAGAAAAGTCAGATTTTGACAGAACAGGTCACATTTTATTCACTTAATAGTATTATTTGATTATTCGAAACTGTGTTTGACCGAATATTTGAATCATCAAAACTCGCCGATCAAATTTTACACGCTCCAGCTACAACTCCATGCCACGCTGCTCAAAAGTTGCATGTTAAAGCTATAGTCCATCATTTGCAGCCATCCGAAAAAGTAACTGGCGTATTATTGTTGAAAAAACATACTTGGTTGAAAGATAGTAAGGGGACTAAACTCCCTGTGAAATTATTCTTTCTGGCAAGCTGTCATTTTGAAGTAATCAACGAAAGAAGGCCTTTCCAACGGTGCGTCTTAAGATGCACCGTAGGAAAATTTTAATTAGTAGTTCGTTTTGTTATTCGGCGCAGCGCGCGCAAGCATTGGCATGTGCGCAGTTGCTATAATTAGTCGGATCAGTGCGCGACATCGCGCATACATGTAGCTGCAATTCAAAACAATTCAAAATATGATTCAGCAACTTTTGATTTAAAATTGAGATCCTAGAATGCTGTTTTACTCGTAATATACAGCTGAAGCTGAGGTGAGACTTGTTGCTTCAAACGAACAAAATGCACAAATTACAAATGATGGACTATATATTTAAGCATGCCAGTGCGGTGATCAATACTACGGGCTGTTGGAGTGTGTAGCAGTATTTTATAACTGTCAAGGGCTTTAACCTGCCAAGAGAATGAGAACAATGAACCATTGTCGACAAAAAGTTAACGTTGGCAAAAAAGTGGCATCTGAAAATTAAGCGCAGCAACTTTATGATTTTTTTTTTTTAAATATATTCATTACATGCTGTTCACAAAACCTCTAGGAGATTTCCGAATTAGCAGGCCCACACACTCGGAAAAAGCACTCAACTTTCTTGACCTAATGACTCGACTCGACTCGACTCGAGTCACAAATATCAGTGACTCCTCACGAAATATCGGCTCCTCACACTGTTATTCCCTTAACCCTAGCTCCCTAGGGGGTGTGCAAAATCGTATTGAAATTGGAGGATTCAGGACTGTTAGGGCTATTAAAGCACAACTGAATAATGATCTACACTATCTAACCTTTCTCCTTTCCTAAGCAAGCATGCATTCCTACCGGTATTTTACCCACAACAACTGAAAACAGAAAAAACTAACGTGGCATTTCCCATTCCTTCATTTGTAACTGTCAGCCTGTAGAGTCCATTGCTGTGCAGCAGCAACAGCAGCAGCAGCAAATGGCGGGTATTCAACCAGGCCAGATCAGCACGGTGGTGTGGCGTGGGCAACTGGAATGGCATGAGGTCAGTGTAATCATTAACCCAGCCTCCTGGATCCGACAAAATCCACCAAAGGATTTTGTAGGACTATTCATAGGGCTCTGAGCCCCTTGGAAGTTAAGATTGCAAAGAGTGTGAAAGGGTTCCAACACTGTGGTGGATTCGGAAGTTTTAGAAAGGTTTCAGGAAGATTGCCTTGAACGTTGCATGAGCCTAACATTGTGTTTTGTAGGATCCTACGTACATCCTTCAAAATCCACCAATAGTTTTCCCAATACTGCGAAATCCTCCAAACCCCCGATGGATTTTGATGCATTGGCATTCATTCATTCATTCATTCAAGTTTAGCTCTAGTTGCAAACAGCAGCTGTTGAGCGGGCATGGAGAGTCAGTCCAATGCTCAACATAAAAAAACCTTCAGTATTCCCTCCGCAGCGCTCGCCTGACGCATTCGTCAGTGGTGAGGGCATGGAGGTTGACTTAATAGAGTCCTAATCAATGATAAGAGCATTATCTATCTTGAACTTCGTTGTAATTTTTTTTAAAGTTGAACAAAGAAATTGACTGGAGCGGGGTTTGAACCTGCGACCTCTGGATTGCCGTTCTGGTGCTCTATTCAGCCCTATATTGGCGGTTCCCCAATTTCGTCAATGTCTTTGCTCAAGGGACGCTATTCCTATGCCATAAACTTGTACATGTATATGCCATGTAGCCAGGAATCACGTAGCCTTTAGTCAAGTCCCACGCACTTACCCGGACATGTGATGCACCCCGAATGCTGACACGTAAAAAGACTAGCACAAGCGGCGAGCTGCGAGGGCCTTTACCATCTCGTGGAGAACGCTTACGTTTTCCTTTACATTTGTCTACCGATTTGGTAGACATGCATAATACATTACCCGTTGTGAACTGACCAATGAAAATGCAGAATTACTAACGCAAATCAGCCGTCGTCTGGCGCCAAACAGCACGTGCGCCATGGTGTGGTTGCTGTTGCTGGTAACCGCAAACCACCGTGAGATGATTGGTTTATATTGCTTGATTTATATTACGTGAATAAATGAATAAGTGATAAGTTCCATGAGATAGTAAAGGCCCTCGCGGCTTCGCCGCTCGTGCTAGTCTTTTTACGTGCCAGCATCCGGGGTGCGTTACTTGTCCAGATGGTCCGGGTATAGGCGCGTGGGACTTGACTAAAGGCTAGGAATCACGCCTTAAAGTCACGATGCTAGCAACATCAGCAATGCTGCAAACCTGGGAAATAGCAAACGGGGATCACTCAGAGAGGCTTTTTAGTACAAATCTGCAGATAAACCACGAAAGGAAACTGATGCTAGTGTATTATAATAATTATTCTAATTAATATGTGTATTTTTGTTTTCTGCTGTCTCTCCAGCGCCCCAAGATGGCCGCCCCTGAAGCTAAGATCACTCGTACTCACAAGTGTCATGTGACAGTCGGACCAGAGAGCACCCTGAAGGTGGAACAGTGGCCGCCGAAACTTATCATGCAACTCATTCCACAACAACTTTTGGTAAGATCAATTCCAAATTTGTCTCACCTTTCGTCTTGCTCTCGTTGGCGCAATCCTACTTGCAAAACTGGCAAGCTTGAATATTGGGTCTTGCCCTCCACCAACATAGTGGAACATCGCAAAAGTCGGAACGTTCCCGTTTTATGTGAAACTCTCCTTCATGAGGTGAATTTCCCTATTAAAATACCAGGTTTTCGATGTTTATGTTTGACTGAACCCAGGGTAACGTTATCTGGTTAATCCCTTAACCCTGCGAGCTGCGAAGCGTAAAAATTTACGCCGCGTAGCTGAGGTGCTCACGCGTGAGGCAGTTTTGATTTCGCGTATAAAATACTATTTTGTGGACACAATCCTTTCTCTAATGGTTTAAATATTATGAATGCAGGTCCCCCGAACCCACACAAGATTGAATCCCCTCCAGTAGGTCACTCACAGACATTGTGACTGCACAGTCATGTACATATACACTGCATGCACTGTGACCGTTACATGTTGGATTGACCATTACATGTTGGATCGACCATTACATGTTGGATCCCCCCAAAAAAGATGGACATGAAACAGTCGAGACAGCCTTTCTGTGGCTCTAGACAGCTGTCACTGGGCCAGCAGTAGAGGATGATTGATGACATTGTTGTGACGGCGGTATGTAAAACGCAGAGAACTTTTTTTGTGCACAAGTGAATGGGCTTTGGCTGGAGGCCCAACTTTCCCAGGGGCGGCTGACCCCCAAGTGAACTCCTACAAGAAAAGCGACCATGCCATCTCAAACCACAAGGTTCACTCTAGGATTACATGTAGTTTCAAGGGAATTGGGCGATAGCTTCATCAAAAAAAGTTAAGAAACCAAAAAAGGGACTAGCGCGTGAGCCCCTGCGCATCCCGCAGGGTTAAGACAATTACAAATGTAGTTGCACCACAGGAGGCCAGTCCAAACGGTACTATTTAGTTCCTGCTGGGTTTACCTTTTGGAAACTCCATACTTGTTACATGTACCTGTATGCACAGTCCGACAAATTCATGATTCCGGTTGTCTGTGCATCAGTTTCAAAGATCAAAAAAAAGAAAACATGGTTTCATTACCCGACCAAAACGAATTTTACGTTTGATATTTAATTTATGAAAAATCCAGGTGCATTTAGGTCACTGAGGAATGATTCAGGCATGCCAAACAAGTCGTTAAGTCAAGCTATATTAATTGTTCCCTGCTGGTGGAAGGTATTCATCTGGTGCTTACTTGCCCTGAGGAGATACAATCTTGAGATAAGATGTGTTCCAAACCCTGGTTCGGTCTTGATCAAAAACCCGAATATAAGACATTTAGTCAGGTTTTCTCTTTAAAAGAGGATTCACAGCATGTTTTAGGACACTGTGTGTTCCCATCAGGTATGCGCTGTGTTTCCAGAGTGTTCTCAACTGGAAAAGGCGGTTCCTGAGTAGTCGTGCACGTGCATAGACCAACGTTCCCACGCGTGACATCTGCCATGAGCATCTGGCGGTCCTGGGCCGTTTCCATTGGGAACAACGAAAGTTCCCATTTGGGACAGGCGATGTTCCCCGGTGGAACGTTCCAAGCATTCTGACTTTTGTGACGTTCCCTTATTTCATAAGCTTTGTGTGCTCAGTGTTGTCTGAAGGCTTATGAAACAAACCAATTGACAAGGTTACTTGAGTGGGACTCGAACCCACAACTTTTATTTAGAGACATGGGGGTTGGTAGAGGCTTGATTATGGCAGGTTCCAGTCCTGTTCTGTAAAATTTCTTTTTTTTTTCAATTTGTAAAACTTGTTTTGCTTTTCTCAATGCAGCAAGGATTGAGTACGTTACTGTGTAGCTCTCAACAAGTTGGCTTCCAGTTTCCTGAGCAAGGCAACGATCCCGATGCTATGAGAGCCCTCATGAAAGTCATGCAAAGCAGCTTTGTAAGTTGTCTCCTTTGTTAAGAAAGGGAGGGAGAATTCAGGCTAGTCATCAATGATATTACATCACTGTACCTCATGCATATTCATGAGAGAGAGCCGAATTCTTACTGGTCCATTCACCATCACATGTCAGCCGCTAGTTTCGCTGTTTACCAAGCACGCATGTGAGGATTCACACAGGGTAAATACATATGCGCAGTCGACTATTTAATGGGTTACCCGTGCGATCTTCTTCTGTGCATGCGCTTTGCTAAGCAATCGTGGACCTAATTAACTAACTAATTAGGGAACTTTACTTAAAGCAATCGTGGAACTAAGCAATCGTGGAACTAATACACGCAAACATCACTCTAACGAAAAGCTTGTGGCATATGCACAGAAGCATTTTGCTAAGACAACTGATGACTTGTGATTGACATGATTGACTAGTGATTGACTTGTAATTCTTGTGAAGAAGTTGTGATGGACTAGTGATCGACTTGTGATTGCCTTACTATTGACTTATTATTAACTAGTGATCGACCAGTGATTGACTTGTTACTGACTTGTAACTGACTAGTGATGGACTTGTGACTGACTAGTGATTGACTTGTGAATGACTAGTGATGGACTAGTGATCGACTTGTGATTGCCTTATTATTGACTTATTATTAACTAGTGATCGACTTGTGATTGACTTGTTACTGACTTGTAACTGACTAGTGATGGACTTGTGACTGACTAGTGATTGACTTGTGAATGACTAGTGAGGGAGAAGTGATTGACTAGTGACTGACTAGTGATTGAATTGTGACTGACTTGTGACTAACTGGTGACTGACTAGTGATTGACTTGTGAATGACTAGTAATGGACTAGTGATGGACTTGTGACTGACTTGTGACTGACTTGTGACTGACTAGTGATTGACTTTTGAATGACTAGTGAGGGAGAAGTGATTGACTAGTGACTGACTAGTGATTGACTTGTGACTGACTTGTGACTGACGTGTGACTAACTTGGGACTGACTAGTGATTGACTTGTGAATGACTAGTGATGGACTACTGATGGACTATTGATAGACTAGCGAGGGACTAGTGATGGATAAGCGATTGACTTGTGATTGACTTGTGATTGACAGGCTGGCAGTGTTCATTTCCCCACCGACGTTCCGTGCAACATCCGTATTTTGATGCTGCTGTATTCCCAGCGGAAGTCCATGTTTATCGGCTTCATTCCCAACGACCAGGCAGGATTTGTCAACCAGTTCCGCATGGTACTCACCAAACAGAAGAAGAATCACGTAGACAGAGCAAGAGGCCAAATGGTAAATAATATTGCGCACATATCCACCAGTATTGGTGCTCAAGGCGCTACATCATTATTAACCCTGCTCATTGGGCCAATGAAACATTCTAAAGACAATCTCAGCTCCCTGGGGATTATGGGCTCCGTGCACAAGTACCCCTTCAACGACCAGAAAAGGAGAGTTGGGGGAGACCTAGACTGGTTCCCGGTCCATCCACAGTGTATTTCAAATGATCCAAAGTTATTGGGGGGCGGGGATTAGTCTGCGAGATCATCGCAAGTTAAATTCGAACGTATTCACGTGCCGACAATGTCTGGTGTACACGCAAAGACGCTGTGGCTAATAGCTTTGGCACATTCAGGAAGTCGTGCGTACATGTACTTCCCGCCCGAAACCATTACAGTATACAGTACGCACACGCTGTGTGTGATCCCGTCCACGGAGCTCTCAAAAGTGGTAAAAACGCGCCCTCTTTTGTTGGCGCACGGAGCCCATACAGCCCCATGCTGCCATTTCGGCACAAAGAAGCTAAAACCAATCACAAGTAACCATCTCTACGATCACAGGTACCCATTTACTCCTGGGTGGGGAGAAGCAATGCGTGACAAAGTGCCTTGCCCAAGGGCACACACACCATAGCCCCAGGCTGGACTTGAACCCACAACCTGCAGAATTACCTGCAGACCACGAATTCAATGCTCCAGACCACGAGGCCGCAGCACTCACAAGAACATAGAGCGATACCTAAGCCACATCTAAATCTCTTGTCAAGGGCTACTGGCTAGGTCTTTGACAATTAAAACTACATCGTCACATGCTGACGGTGGACCTAGCCGTAGCCCAGGATACTCGTGCGGACATGAACTTAATGCAAGACTTGTATTTGAGTCACCAAACATCAAGTCCAAGTCACGGAAAATGGGACTCGAGCAGGACTCAAGTCCGAGTCATGAGTCCTACAAATCTGCTAAAGGCACTCTTTTCATTGTCAAAATATTGTTTCTTTCATGTGAGAAATGGGTGGCTTGTGCGTAAAGCGCTTGCCTCTCACCAAGGTGACCACGGTTCGAATCCTGGCCGCGGATCGCATGTGAGTAGAGTTGTGCGTTGGTTCTCTCTTGTGCCGCGAGGGTTTTTCTCCGGGCCCTCCGGTTTTCCTCCCTCCGGAAAAATCAAGCACTTTCGATCTCAGGCTGTGCTCCGTGGTCTTATATGGGTCGACGTGGCCGGCAGCCAGAGGCGCCTTTACGTGCCAGCGGCCTGACCACGTTGTAGCCGCGTCCTTCGCAATTCAGCATACCAGCTGCGAGTAAGGATGATTAGCCTCCCAAATTATCTTGCCTTGAACCGAGCCTGATTGCTCAACACACAAAAAATCGGACTGTCTTGTTTTTGCTGTCTTTAATACGTTGCAAAGTAAAAAAAACCTGTAGTGTTAAGTGTGTTTCACACTGTTGTTTCTGAGTCAAGCTAAACCAAAGGATGTGAATGCAGTATTTAAAACCCAAATTACAATTGTAACAGTTAGGGCGGACTAGGTTAAAGGTAGAGTGCACCATTTGCAGCTTTCCAAAACATAACCGACCAAATCAATGTGAAAAAGCTTACTAGGTTGAAAGATAGTAATGGCACCCTGTGAAATTGTTCCTTCTGGCATGCTGTCCCTTTTAAAGAAAACAGTCAAAGAAGGTCATTTCCAAAGATGTGTTAAGTGACACATTTTTGGAAATTTCAGTGAATACCGCCCCCATGCGTTGTGAATCCGTGAATGGGTGCAAGCGAGTCCCATGAGAATCGGGTTCCGAATCCTGATTTCATGTGATGTCACGAGAGGGCACAATTCAAAATATGATTGTATTGTCTCCATAGCAGGCCATGGGCCCAGGAGGCCAGCTTCAAGCCAGACAGTTCCCGACCCCAGTAAACCAACAACAACAGCAACAACAACAACAACAACAACAGGGTGGACTACCCACAATGCCTGGCAGTATGCCCGGCTCTACCAACATCTCAACGATGGGCATGTCTAGTGTTCCCTCAACCGCAGCTGGGTTGAGTTCCGGAGGGGGTGCTGGCGGTAATGGGAATGCTGCAATGCAAGGCAATTCCGCAGCTGCCGTGCAGCAGCAGCAGCGAGCGCAGCAGCAGGTTAGTTAAAAAAAAAAACTCTTCATGGTTTTATTTCTTCCGATATTACACCAATCGTGATTAGTTTAATAAAAATATCAATATGGTGCTTGTAGAGCGCTTTATACCAAAGGTCTCAAAGCGCTTCACTATTGTTGCCCCGTTCATCAGACCATGAGACTATTTTTCTGCAGCAGCTCGAGATAGTGCATTCTGGTCTCTACCTTCACAGGTACCCATTTATACACCTGGGTGGAGAGAGGCAATTGTAGTAAAGTGTCTTGCCCAAGAACACAGGCACTGTGCTCCCCATCACGGTTCGAACCCACGTATTACGGCACGTGAGTCGAACACTGTACCCATAGGACCCTCGCATTCTTTTGATAAAGATTTTATTTTATAAAAGACTGTTCCATATTTGATCTGTTGGTGCAGCGTTTCATGGAAATGGCTAAAAACCGGGAACTGCAGCAACTCAAGAAGCAACAGCAACTGCAGTTGGCTCAGAAGTTGCAGCAACAACAGGCGCAGTTGCAGCAGCAACAACTTCAGCAGCAGCAACAACAACAGCAGCAACAACAACTGCAGCAGCAGCAGCAGCAGCAACAGAGGTAGGTTTGTCTTGATAACAGACAGTTTTGTCTCAAATCGAACTAGAATTCAGACCTTTGGACCGCAACTTGTTCACTGCGCCAGCCAAGCTATGAAATGATAGTTGGGCGTAGTGGCGTGCATTTATGGGTAGTGTGCGAGCTGTTAAGGAGAATACACAAGAAAGTGTGGATTCGTAATTTAAGAATTCACGAGGCGCGAAGCGTCAACAGAGGTATTGGAAAGAATGCTGCAACCTGACGCCACTTTTTTCTTCATATATCATCTCAATGAAGGCCGTTTATTGCAAAAATGGTGATAAGACATGAATCTGGGACTGATAAATGTTCCCAAAATTGTTGGGAAGTACTTGAAATGACTCTCCATAGACGTTGTACACAAGTGCGGAAGTGGCGTCAGGTTGCAACATTGTTTCCTGACGTGTTTAGCATGTGTATCAACACACGGGCTCCTTACGTCAAAATGGATAGTTCAGACGACGATTTCTTTCTGACTAAAAGTAGATTTTGCAGTGAAAGCGGAAAATCTGACAGTGAAGATGCATTGGTAATTTTCGGAAAACAAATTTTCACGCAGACGGTCCTATTCTTGCTCATTATGGAGAGCAACTGTCCGACGTGTTCAAAGTGTGGATTCGTAATTCTGAATCCACACTTTACTAAAGATTCGTCGTTCCGAATCCACACTTTGTGACCAGTGTAAGAGATTCGTAGATCCGAATTCACACTTTTAACAATAGTGTGATGTCATAGCAGTGGTTTAAGGGTACCTAATTGGAATCAAATAGAGGTGCTTTGGTACCCCTAAAAGAAACCCAACCCCACAATTCCAATCCCAGAAGTTGTCTGAAGGGCTTTAAAGCTTAACGGTGCAAACTGCTACTTGTCGTATGTTGCGCATTAAAATGGACATCGATGTGAAATCTGTTTTGGTGTTCCAGTAGCCTGGTTTTCATTTTGAATATTCCCCACCAATCTGAGAAGTTACGTTAAAGGGGCACTAGGTCCTGAAATCCCCGAAACTGTTATGTTTTGGATTGTTTACTTAGCCTATTTCAAACATCTGGTTGAAAGGAAACCAACCTAATGTCTTACCGTTCCCGAGAAAAGACGAAAAAAAACAAGCTTGTTTACATCGGACATGACGGAGTACAAATACGTTTTTCATGTCGTTCTCATGTACGCTATACACGTTGTGTGTCTTGGGAACAGCACGCGGTGACCAATCAGCAATGCAAAAAATTGTGGTTTCTTCAACGTCCGCAAAAGGCGAACGCTTTACGCGTACGAATGAAATCACAACTAGCATCCAAACAGCTCGAATTTATGGGGTCGCAAAAGTGGACCCCGAAATTCGTTCTCGCACGCATAATACAGGAATAACACAAAAACGCCCAGTTTTGAAAGGATAGTTGTGTGGATGTTTATATCCTATTTTTAAAAGTTATTTCCGATTATCATCATCTCGTTCAAAGCGCGTTGTGTAGCCCAATTGGGCTGTTCCAGGACCCAGTGTCCCTTTAAGTTGGTTATGGGTTCCCGATCCCATAATTTGGAAGGGCTTCCTGACATCAGCGCCGGGTACTCGGGTACCCAGTTCCTAGTTGGGCATCCTTTCAAAATAGTCCATTTTGTCTCAGTTTCTAGTTAGGCATCCTTTTCAAAGTAGTCCGTTATTTCTCGGTTCGTAGTTGGGCATACTAAAAAAAAATAGTAATTTTTTTACTTGGTTTTATTAATAGAAATGTTTCTGATTGCAGTTAATTCACTTCATTATAAATAAGTATGTATCAGAGTGTATAAGCGTGCCCTGTAAATCTGTTTCCATTTTTTTACAACATTGAAGGTTACAGCAGCAACAGCAGCAGCAGCAGCAGCAACCACCACCACCAGTCCAACCCCAGCAGCAGCAGCAACAGCGCCCTCAGCTGCCGGCACCTGGCCAGGCAGGTGGTACAGGGGGGCCGACGCCCGCTCAGAGCCAGCAGTTGCCGACCAATAATCCTCAGCTCCGACATCTTCTCATGAACCAGCCCCCGGTAAGACAATAGTGCCCTCTATATATCCATGTGAGTTAATAAGCCAATGGCCCGAGATGGGACACACACAACTCATTATGCAAGCAATGGGCCAAGAACGAGTGACGACACCTCCCACAGTCAGGCGCACTTCCTTAACAACGGGTCACGCACGTTCACGCGCATTACGCGTACGTTTACACACGGGATCACAGACGGCAGTTTTACATCCTACGTTTATAGAACATGTTCACAAATTAGTACCTGAAAATGGTTCACTGCCTTTCAGCAGATTGTCACCACACCAGTTACAAACATTCGCTCGTACCCCCCGCCCTGCAAACAGGACGCTGGGATACTCTGATGAATTCACGCTCTGATTGGTTGGATTTTGCTAACCAGTGACCTACGCGTCATCAAGGTTATGACTCAGCAAGGTTTGAAACGGCCGTTAAGACTGATTCATTACTCTTTTATTCCAGTTTAGAGATGTTTTATTTCTCGTTGAAAAGCGTAATAATGTAGGAAATTCTGTAAAACTTATCTGTGTTGTAAATTTACATTTTCTGTCACTCGCTCAGGCTCCGTTTCGAATCATGAACGGTCGGATTGCATTATGCGACGCGCAAAATTTTGTCCACATGGTCCGCAATGAAACAGAAATCACATCCGGTATTGAATGTGCGCAATTCTATAGGAGGTTTTCGGATAGCATTAATATTTGCGCACATTGTCTAAATGCGGTCTTGAACAGCTGCAGCCAGATGCTTTTATACATAGGTCATAGGCCACTTCCTTCACAAGATTCTGTGAAGCTCATCAGAGTATCCCAGCGTCCTGTTTGCAGGGCGGGGGGTACGAGCGAATTACAAACACAGTTGTGCTTATTTCGCTTCAAAGAGGAGAATCAGGCCAATTATGAAACGGATTCACAACAGCTATAGCCAAACAACGGTGTTCTCTGGGCCGTTGCAGTGGCTGTAAACATGCAACCACGGTTGCACCAAATTGCTCTCTGAGTGACGTCACGACTTCGCCAGTTAATACTGCCCTCTGATGTTACTATTTTATTGTTGACTCTAAGAAATTGAAGTGTTTTGCGTAAAGACACAAGAACCGCGCTATGGGCTATATTCAGATTTTTAACTCAACATTCACCAGATAGTTTTTATCCCTACGCTTGTGGTTTTTATTTCATTCAAATGTTCTAGATAAGTTGCTCTTTAGCTGTGTTTTATAACTCAGTTATTCCATACCCAACTCTACTCAGCCCTGCCCCTCCCTACACTACCCTACCCTGTTCCAATGTTTCCCTTATCCTACCCTCTCTTTCCATGCTCTCCTCCCCTTTTCCCTTCTCACCCCCCTCTACCCCTCAATCATACCCTGCCCTATACATTTTGCACATTGCCAGACCCAGCTGTTTCCATCCTGTCCCGTCCTATTTGTCCTCATTTCCTTCCCTAATCACCCCACAGCCCGAAATCCTACTTTACTGCTCCTAGAGTTGTTATGATTGTATAGTAGTAACTGTGTTTTGTATATGTACATGTTATGATATATTTTGGTCTTGTTTTATGTATTTTTTTAATTATTGGATGTACACATATTTTTAATTGTACACTGGGAAATGAAGTTCCATGTAATTTTGAGCATGACAATAAAGAAATCTAATCTAATCTAAACTCAATTCAAAATCTCAGGACCAAGACTAGTCCAACATCAACTGATTTCCTTCATTTCTTTGTTCAGGGAACTGTCCAGCCGGGCTTGCCAGCACAGGGTCAAACTCAACAGCAGCAGCAGCAACAGCAACTGCAGTGGCAGCAACAACAGCAGCAGCAGCAGCAGCAGCAGCAGCCCGCTGTCAATCAACAGCAACAGTTCCGCCTCCAGCAACCACAGCAGCCAATCATGATGCAGCAACAGCAACAGCAGCAGCAGCAGCAGCAGCAAGCACAGGTTCCCCAGCAACAGTTGTCACGGCAACCGGCCCAGGGGCAGCCTGGGATATCAGGCATTGGAGACGAACTCTCACTCTTTGACCTGCTGAAATGAGTTTCTGAATGTATATAAATTTAATATATGTGCATAAATTATGCATATTTAGATTACATATTTGCATATATTGTGGAACTTCATTGTAAGTCTACAATTTGCATACAGTATACCTATTATAAGATCTAGAAATGTAAATTGAATTGTTTGTTGCATCTTGCATTGAGAACACTATGAAAAGCTCAATGATCATCGTCACTTCTATTGTCCTGCCATTTCCATACCACCTCAGCTATTTTTCAAGCAGGTTGTTTTATAGTTTGTGTTTAAAACAATACCATTTGTGTCCATGTTTTTCTACATAGTAACATGAGTTATTGATGCCACATTTTCGTACGATAAATAGAAGTGCCCTTTGATTGCCTTTGTAATTTGGGCAAATTCAACTTATCAAAATATCAATGAATGAATTATGTTTTTTATTATTGGGCCCCCCAAAAAAATAGTCGGTCTCTGGTCAGACCGAAGTTCCGTAATTGATGCGGCAACGCGTTTTGGGGGGTTTTATTGGTGGCTTTTTTTTTTTCAAGCTTGTATTGTACAGACAAGGTGGGTACTATTTTGCTTTTTTGTGTCCTCATTATACATTGGTGTCCTCCATAATTTGCCTTGGTGCAGTTTATCATTTGCCTTGGTGCAATTTCCCCATTCCTTGGTGCTCCTTGGTACAAAAATGTGAGGAGGCGCGGCAATGGAGGGCGCTGTTGTAGCTTCCGTGTTAATTTGAACAAAAAAAAAGGTTGACGCGCATGATTAAAATCGACGCGCGCGCTGACCAGAGACGGAGTATTTTTTTTTTTGGCCTTATTATTTTTTTTTGGGGGGGGGGGATAATTTCATATAAGTTTGGATATAATCAGACCACACACGCACCCTTACCTGTGTTTGTTTTGAGTGTCTGTTTTCTGTTATTTTTAAATATAAAGTTTTCTGGAAATATTTTTATTTTCCAGATCTGTCAGATAAACCTGATCTTTAATGTATTATTGCCGACCTTATTGTCAATAAAAGGTGTTTGTTTTCTCTCAATCTCGAAACAAAATTATTCTGCATTACATTGTCACTTTTATTTTGCAATTTCACTAATTTGAGTCGAAATTGGAATGTCAACCTAATTGGAAAGTATTAAACCAGTTGTAGTTTTATCCCCATCTTTTTTTAGGGGGGGGGGCATTTTTTTAAATAAAAAAATATTAAATTCATGAAGAATGAGAAATGAAGATTCTCCCCAGGTAAAATGTCCAGTTGAAACCAGTTCAACTGGTCCTCAACTGTATTACAAATGTACCAGGTAAAATGTCCTGGCTTTGAACAAGTTTTAGTTGTTAACCTGGTTCAAAACCAGTGGAAAACAACTTGCCATTTCCAGTTCAACTGCCAGTTGAATTGGAATGTTCACTTGAATTCAGATGCGAATTTAAGAAATCCTTCTCTTATACAGGGTGTCTCAAAAAAAGGTAACCCAACTTGAAAGGGTTATTATGGCCAGACTATTTGTGTACAAGCAAGAAGCATGGTATCATCTTAAAGCTGAAGCTGTGCGCTTTTCAATGATACCTTGGGTTACATTCCAGGGTCACGCATCATGGGGCACCATTGTCTTGAAGTTGTGGTGCAAAAATGCAGTTGGTTCACTTTCCTGCTGAACAAAATCGACACAGATTCCCAAACAGGGATCATCATTATGATCCCTGTCTCATGACTTTGTTTTTTGCCCAAAATATGACATCTGTTACACTTAATATTGACCTTTTGCTTCCAAATATTGTGACGTCATCAAACCGGAAGTTGGGTGTTATTATTACATACACCTAATTTCCATATTCCCATCCGTTATTTTTACTTAATGATAAATAAGTGTCCTCCCTTCCCTTTTTTGACTGAAGACGTCATCAAGCCGGAAATAACTTGTACGTGTACCTAAATGTTTACTGAAATTTATCATACCCTTAAAGACGCTTTTGTTTTGTACAAATAATTGGTACTGGGAATGTTAAAGTTCTTGATCCTTTTTTTCTGACATAAGCATATTCATAACTTACCTGGACAGTGTCTGATGAAACTGACCACTCTGCGTTTGTAACAACAAACGCGAAGCTCTATTTTTTTTTATCCATGTCTATGACGCGACAACGGTGAATGGCCGAAGACCCGATATAGAAAGTGCCCGCTGATTGGCCAAAATCTAGAGGTCAAGATGTGGTTGTCTTGCATAATTACTCATATTAGTAGACCATGTGTCTATTACATAGACTAGCCGTGGGTAGTCTGAGGATCAGACATTCAGTTGGCAAAGCCACGGCTGCGGAACGTCTGATTTATCATACTAAACTATTTTCACCGCTGCTTTGTTCGGGCTCTAGAGTCTCTAGGTTTAGATATGGGGAGAAAGATTCGAGCGTAGAAACCAAACAAGCAACTTTTTGGGGGGGGGGGGGGGTTGGGCGGGGGGCGAACCGGCGACTACAAAAAAATCATCCTTGCCACAGCTGGATTAAACTTCCGATGGGTTCAGACCAGTAAATAGACTGCCATACACCTTAGTGGCACTTCCAAAACATTAAAAATACTCACAACTCTCTGAGGTGTTCTGAAATAAGCCTTAATTTTGATGCATGCCCTGAACAGTTCAGGACATGCATCAAATTAAGGCTTATTTCATCATCTTTCATTTTCCGTTAAGTTTCTGGGGGTTAACCAATGACCTTTGGGAGAAATTCCATCTACTAAAAAGATGATCACTCCTAAAAGCAGTCCTGAAGCGCATCGCCATTTTGAAAATGGACGCCTGCGCTCTATTGCAAAATAGAGTAATTTTAGGGCCTAATCATCATCCACATTTCACAGAAATACGAGCTTGCAATACTCTGCAAGGCTTCCAACCTTCTTTTTTTTTTTTTTACAAATCATCAAGTTCACGGCCTTCAAAATGATCTAATACCGGAGAATTTGAGGGCATGCAAATCGTGATTTGGCCGGCGTAGGCAATTTCGGACCGATTTACTGGCCTGCACCCTGACTCTTCCGCCCTTTGCGTCGCTAGCGGTGCAAATAGTAAACCATGGAGTCTACATGTGGGGGTCAGACAAGTCGACCGTTGAGACAACTACTCGGGACAAGTCGACCGTTGAGACAACTCGACCGTTGAGACAACTCGACCGTATGTGCGATAAATGGAAAGACAAGTCGACCGTTGAGACAAGTCGCCTCGCATGTTTTTGGGCCTAGTTTTGGGGATAGTACCGGGGATTTTTGACGGCGGCTAATCTTCGTTTGGGAGTGATGACACATGAGGGTTTTTTTGTTGCATATAACAGAGCCGATCATATAGCGCAGCGTGATTGTTTTTGCCTGGCATGTGCGCCCACTTGGCGCGCCGGTTGTGCCCGCGTGCCGGGCAGGGCCCGATCCTCGCGGGCAGGGCGCGCCGGCCCAACGCGACGGCCACCGGATCGGATCGCCCTCTGTGCATCGAGTATGCCCGCGCCGCGCCCGGGACTGGTCCTGCCACAGATTTTTGCAACTTTTTCCGCTCCACGTGTATACATTCCATTAAGTCGAGCTGTCTCAACGGTCGAGTTGTCCCGAGTCGAGTTGTCTCAACGGTCGACTTGTCTCAACGGTCGACTTGTCTGACATTCCTACATGTAGTTTAGTTATAACGCATATAATGCCAGATAGATATTTCGTCGAGAGGGGGGTACTATTCACGTATGCGCAAAATGCAAAATGGCTTGGTGCCAAAAAAGGAAGTGTCGTCGCACTTTGTACCTTAAAAGGAGCCCGTGGTAGTGAAAGGGATAAAGAAACCCCAAATTCTTTCGCAATATCCCCATTTCATAAACCAACTGAGTTGTGATTGATGCTCGCTCGTGCATGACTCTTGCACCTTTACAAGGCCCCTGGATTGTTGGAAATACGAGGTATATAAAAGGAAGCCTTATCCTGAATGTAACAAAGACAAAATAACAAAACAAGTCCATTCCTCCGACTATGCGATTCTCCTTTCAGACCGAATTCTATGCGTAGATTCCACATCACTGCCCGACCATAAATTTTATAGCAACACAAGTAGGGTATATGTACATGCAAAGTTCTGCAGTAAATATTTCTCGCCTAATTATGAATTCCTGTAGTTTCCTTTGGGCAAATGTGCAGCTCATAAACGTAAATACATAGAGTTGTCTCGATTTGTTTTGCTCGTTGGGCCAATGAAACACTCCAAATACCATCTCAGCTCCACTGGGGAATATACAGCTCGATGCTGCCATTTCGGCGCAAGGCAGCTAATAAATCAACCACAAATATCAACTCTGCCCTCACAGGTACCCATTTACTCCTGGGTGGGGAGAAGCAATGAGTGACAAAGTGCCTTGCCCAAGGGCACAAGCACCACATCCCCAAGCTGGACTCGAACCCACAACCTGCAGAATTACCTGCAGACCACGAATTCAATTGCTTCAGACCATGAGGCCACGACACTCCACACATGTACTCCACATAATTATGCTACGTATGTTACATGCACTTTATTTGTTACATGTACTTTATACCAATGTAATTTTTTTTATTAAATGGAGCCAGCCACATATTTTTAAAATAATTGGTTTTTTTTTCTAATTCGGTCATTTTCTTTTTGGCTCACCCTGTGTAATTATTTAAGCATTAAATATACAACTCATCATCCCAAAACTATTAACACCTTGACCTTGAGTTTATTATTCATAAGGAGAATTGGCGAATATAAGATTTAACAATAAGAAGAAAAAGAAACAAACTTAATATAATACATTTTCACTGTGGGTCCTTTTCTTAAGTGGTGCAAAACTGTTCAGATAAGCGTTACAAATTGAAAATAAGCAAGTTACTTTTATCAAGTGTACTCGTATTAAGGTCTGGGTATCACTAGTTAAAATAAAAGAAAGCTACACGATAAACGTAATGCATCAAAGATTTCGAAGCTATCAGGGTTTTGTGAAATCCAATGTTGTTAAATCCCACAGAAGGTAGCACTTAATGACCAGCTATAAAATCAAACTTAAGCTATCAAAATTATGGCACGAGCTTTCGTAGCTACCGTGACAGCTAACTCATCAGATGAACATTTTTGTTGTAATAAAAGAATATTCAGGATATGATACGAAACAATTACGTATTTATATATACAGGCAAACAGTGAAACTTCGTGTTCCCTACATGCCATTATGTTTGCTTGAAAATTAAATCTGGCAGATTGCCTGAACTTTATGCTATAGCGTATCGATACGAAATGTACCGGCCCTTTTGGACACGGTGGGAATATACCCTTTAAGCCCCCAAAGACATACTTGTAATTACACATTAGGAGTGCCTGATGTGTCTGATCCGTGATTGCTGCACTGTAGATCCTCGCAGTCGGTTATTGAGACGATGGGGACGGTGCAACTTCCAGT